CATTAAGCTTCCCAATACGCTAGCATAGTCCAATTGAGACTGACTTTCGCCTTTATTCTTTGCAAGATGAAGATTTACATCAATTGGAGTCTTTGCCCTTTTAAAATTCAAAAATTTAAATTTTTCAAGTATCTTTTGAATATAATGAGTTTGAGACAATGCTAGACCGTTAGGAGTTTTAAGAATTTTAATTCCTAATATCACATTAGCAACTCCTAAATCTTTCATATCAAACTTACTAGCAAGCATATGCTTTGTAGCTTTTATATTAGCGATGTCTTTGCTCATTATAAGCATATCATCTACATATAGGCATAAAATAACTTCCTGATTTGGAGTATCTTTAATGTAAACACATTTATCACATTCATTGATCTTAAATCCATTTGCCAACATGGTTTGATCAAACTTTGCATGCCATTGTTTTGGTGCTTGTTTTAGCCCATAAAGTGACTTAATAAGTTTGCACACTTTCTTTTCTTTACCAGGAACTACAAAATCCTCAGGTTGTTCTATGTAAATTTCCTCTTCAAGCTCTCCGTTTAAGAAGGCTGTTTTCATATCCATTTGATGAATTTCAAGACCGTATACTGAAGCTAGTGCAATTAACATCTGAATTGATGTAATCCTAGTCACTGGCGAATATGTGTCAAAATAATCAAGACCTTCTTTTTGTCTAAAACCTTTTGACAACAAGTCTTGCTTTATATTTGCCAATAGTTCCATCGTCTTTCATCTTCCTTTTAAAGATTCATTTTGAACCCAACGGTTTGTTCCCTGGAGGAAGATCAACCAACTCCCAAGTATGATTGCTTAAAATTGATTCAATTTCACTATTAACAGCCTCCTTCCAAGAGGTTGAGTCGCTAGACAACAAATCTTCCTTGAATGTTTGAGGCTCACTTTCAAGAAGAAATGTTACAAAATCTGATCCAAATGAAGTAGATGTCTTTTGACGTTTACTGCGTCTTGGACTTTCTTCATTTTGTTCATTCTCTTTTAGTTCTTCTCTGGGTTGTTTAGATCCCCCACTAGATGACTCAAGTCTAATTTTATATGGATAGATATGTTCAAAAAATTCAGCACTATCTGATTCCATTACCGTATTATCATGAATATCCGAATGTTCTGACTTATGAACCAAAAAATGACATGTCTTACTGTTTGTGGCATATCCAGTGAATACACAATCCACAGTCTTAGGTCCTATTTTTACCCTCTTAGGTATAGGAACTTGGACTTTGGCTAGACACCCCTACACTTTAAAATATTTCAAATTGGGTTTTCTACCTTTCCATTTTTCATATGGAATTACATTTGTCTTTGAGTGAGGCACTCTATTAAGTATTTGATTTGCTGTAAGGATAGCTTCCCCCCACAAGTTCTGTGGTAAACCTGAACTTATAAGTAATGCATTCATCATTTCTTTTAAAGTTCGATTTTTTCTTTCTGCAATTCCATTAGACTGAGGAGTGTAGGGAGCAGTAGTTTGATGGATTATTCCATTTTCTAAACATATTTCTGCAAATGGAGATTCATATTCTCCACCTCTATCACTTCTGATCATTTTGATCTTTTTATCTAACTGATTTCAACTTCAGTTTTATATTGCTTAAATGCATCTATTGCTTCATCCTTACTATTTAGCAAATAGACATAACAATATCTAGTGCAATCGTCAATAAAAGTTATGAAATACTTTTTCTCACCACGTGATGGTGTTGACTTCATGTCACAAATATCAGTGTGAATCAATTCTAAAGGATTTGAATTCCTTTCAACAGATTTATAAGAATGCTTAGCATACTTAGATTCAACACAAATTTGACATTTTGATTTATTGCACTCAAATTTTGGCAAAATATTTAAGTTAATCAGTTTTCGCAAGGTTTTGTTATTAACGTGTCCCAAACGTTCATGCCTAAACATTTAGACTCAAGCAAGTAAGAAGCAGCAAAATCTTTGTTCATATCAACTGCAATTACATTGAGTTTGAAAAGGTCATCACTAAGGTAGCCTTTTCCTACATACATATCATTTTTGCTTACTACTACTTTATCAGAAACAAATACACATTTAAATCCATTCTTGGTCAAAACTGGAATTGAAACTAAATTCTTTTTCAATTCTGGAACATATGAGACCCTATTCAAAGTCACCACCTTGCCTGATGTCATCTTTAATAGGACTTTGCCAGTTCCTTCCACCTTTGCAACAGCAGAGTTTGCCATAAACAATTTTTCATCTGTAAGTGCTGGAGTATATGATGAAAATAATTCTTTGTTGACACAAACATGGCATGAGGCACCAGAATCTATCCACCATTCTCTTGGATTTCCAATCAAGTTACATTCTTAAAGCATTGCACAGAGATCATCCATTTCTCCTTTGGATTCAGCCAAATTTGCTTGATCTTTCTTTTTCTTGTCCTTCTTAGGACCCCGGAATTCATTATCCCTATGACCATGTTTACCACAATTAAAGCAGTTTACATTGAATTTCTTCTTAGGAGGAGTGCTTTTTGGACCAGATGTTTCTTTTCTTTAGTTTTTTAAAGTCCTTCCACAATGGAGATAACTTTTCAATAATTGCAGCCACTTGAAAAGCATCATTCACAATTAATCCTACATTAAAGGTTATGTGAGTATTAAGGGAAAATTTAATATTTCTAACATAGGCATTAAATAAATTTATACCTTCAGCAAGGAGATCATGGATTATGACCTGCAATTCTTGAACTTGGGTGACGACAGTCTTACTGTCTATCATCTTAAAGTCCAGAAATTTTGCCACAATGAATTTCTTCATTCCGGCATCTTCTGTTTTGTACTTCTTTTCTAAAGCATCCCGAAATTCTTTTGAGGTTTTTGCATTGCTGTACACAATGTACAGATCGTCTTGCAGACCACTCAAAATATAATTTTTACAAAAAAATCTGAGTGTGTCCATGCTTCTGTTACCAAGAATCGTTCATCAGCCGGAGTTTCATCTGACATAACAGGAACATTCTCATTGATGAACTTCTGCAGACTCAACGTAGTGAGATAGAAGAACATCTTTTGCTGCCATCTCTTAAAGTCGACTCCAGAAAACTTTGCAGGTTTCTCAACCAGTGCTAAGGCAGCATTTGAACGATTATGTGCAACCGATGTTGTTGCATCACAAACTGTTCCAGCATTTGTTTGACTTGAATTAGTCATTTTTTTTCTGTTACAAATGGCAGATAAATTAAGTATTTAAAATACTAACAGTAAAGAACAAATCTTTACACAAACTGTTTCTGATTTAACGATAAAGTTTTTTATGTTCTTTTAATCGTTAATCGAATGAATTTTAAAAATTCAAGCAGAGTAGAAAACCATAAAGGTTTTAATCTCCAGAAACCTCAAATACAGAAACTATTAAATTTCTTAAGATTGTTATTCTTACAATAACTTGTATTTATAAAGTTAATAAACAGAAACAGAAACAGAAATAAGATGAAGCAGAATATAGAATACAAGAATTAATCCGAGACCACAGAAACTACTGTGTGTCCTTAAGAAATTTAATCCCCTCACTGTACCCAAGGTTGTGGATTAATTTCTCCCAAGATAAAATGGATTAAACCTGTTAAAGAAATAGCGGTACCTCAAACTTCTTTAACTTCAACGAACTTAAGAACAGCAACAAGTCACACAGACTCGGTCGATCGACACTTTGATTTTATTTGAGAGAAAAATAAATGCAGAGAAAAAAAAATTTCAGTGATTAAAAAATCAAAAATTGACTTCTTTTTATAGCCATTTTCAGCAAGGAACATGTTTGTTCAGTGAAATCTGTTCAGACCCATTTTATCCAGAAAGTTGTGTATTTTGGAAAAAATAACAACTTTTCAAAAAATTGTGTCTGTTAGGAAAATAACTACTTTTTGGAAAGTAACGACTTTTCGGAAAGAGTAACAACTTTTCAAAATGTTACCGTTACCTGCAAATTTATAAGAAATGACTTTTCATTTGCACTTTGCAAATGACTTTTCATTTTCCCTCCAAAGTAGTTCCCTCACTTTTCATATTCTCTCTTTTCTTTTCCCATTCACACTTGGTAAAACCCAACAAAAACTACAACAGAAAAGTTCTATCACAAAAGTGGGTCATGTATACCTCTATTGTAATAAAAGTGGCTCACATTTACGCTGTATCACATACATATTTTCATCTAACACAAGTAGAGAAAATAATTTTTAATTAATTTTCTTAATTTTTATTTTAGGGAAAGGGGTAAATATACCCTCAACTTTACGATTTTGAGCAGATATACTCGTTAAAAAGTGATGCATACATACCTTTATCGGCTAACAAATGGTGCATATATAACTAATAAATGGTGTACATTCACCCTTTTCATTAACATACTGACTTTTAGAAAAAATAATCCTAAAGTTGATTTTTCGGTCAAATTTATTGTTATGGATAATAAATGCATATTCAAAGGTGTGATCTTTTGTCAATACATACCTATGAATTAATTAAAGTTATCATCTAGCAATATATTTGGAGGATGAATGAACAACAAATTAAGTAAAGAGAAATCTACTACTTTTTTGGAGTAATCAATTCCAAGAAAACAACACCTACTAACTTTCAGTCAAGTTTAGTGTGTCACACAATATGTAAGCATTTCACACGTAATAACACATAGATATGAAAAGTCTTAGTTTAACAACCCTCCGTACACGCAATATTCCCTTTCTAAGTTGTGTATATTGGCAAGTTTAACTTTTAACAAAAAGAATGATCTTTTATTTCAAATAAAATATCAAGTACAACTCAAAATGGATAATAATACACCATGTAATTAAGAGTTTTTTGTACATAATTTTTGAAAGCGATGTCATTCTTGTTAGAAAATAAGTTGTACAAAAAATAAGACAGATGTGAATAATCGAGAAAGGAATTTGGAAATACAATGAATGACACACAATGTAACGTGAAAAACCTAAGTCGGGAAAAAACCACGGGTAATGACGAGCAATTTCACTATATTGAAGGTAGAGTACAATTTAAAGTTCTACGGAACTCAAATATGAGGAAAAGAAAAAAGACAACTAAATTCTTTTGTTTTTATGTCACAAAACAGAACATGCTCAGAAACTTAGGCTTCACTATCTGGTACAAAGAAATAGAAAATGCCCATAAAATTAGGCTCCACTTCCCATGAAAATGGTGTCCATTACTGCACCATAATCCCATGATCTGTTCAGCCTTCCTGAACTGGGAAAGTCCTAAGAAATGCTGACATGAGTAGGCAAAATCAACAAGAAAAAGAATTTATATCCACCATGGCTCAAATTTAGCACATGCTTGTCATTACCATAAAAGCCCCCAAGGGAAATCAAGTGTTGTAAACACTAGCTAAGTTCAAAATATGTTTAAAGTTAAGAAGAGGAAGTGACTTAGTAAGCATATCTGTAGGATTTTCTGTAGTGTAAATTTTCTTGACTACAATCTCTCCCTTAGTCATTGTGTTTCTGATATAATGATATTTCAATATGCTTATTCTCGGAATGATATGCATCATTTTTTTCATTAGATGTATTGCACTATGACTATCTGAAAACACAATAATAGTATCTTGTTGAACACCAAGCTCAAGACCACACAACCATGTAGCCTCCTTCTCACCTTCTATAGCTGCAACATATTCTGCTTCTATACTGGATAGAGCAAGAATGGATTGCAAAGATGCTTTCCAACTGATAGAACCTAAACATAAAGACAAGATATATCCGGATAGAGATCTGCGCCTATCAAGATCACCAACTTAATCAGAATCAACAAACCCAACAACATCATTCGATATCATCTTATTCATGTCAAAAACTAAGCCATGATTAACTGTACCTATCAAGTATCAGAAAATCCATTTCACCACATCCAAATGATACTTGCCAGGATTGTGCATATACCGACTCACCATACTCACTGCATATGTAAGATCGGGTCTAGTGCAAACCATGACATACATAAGACTACCAACTGCACTAGAGTAGGGAATGTTAGACATCAGTTCAAGTTCTTCATCTGTTTTTGAACAAAATTCAGAAGATATCTTGAAGTGAGCTGCTAGAGGAGTTGAGACAGGCCTTCTCTTACTCATGTTCAACTTGTCAAGGATCTTCTCAATGTATTTTTCTGAGACAAGTATAGCTTTGCAGCTTGTCGTTCTCTATGAATTTCCATTCTTGTAATCTTCTTTGCTGCACCAAGGTTCTTCATCTAAAACTCATTACTAAGTTGAGACTTTAACTTGTTGATCAAAGACATGTCTTTTAAAGCAATCAACATTTCATCCACATATAATAAAAAGTAAATAAATGAACCATTTGAAGACTATTTAAAGTACACACTATTATCACATTGACTTTTGGTATAGCTTTGACTAACCATAAAAGCATCAAATCTCTTGTACCACTGTGTAGGTGCTTGTTTAAGTCCATACAAGGACCTTCTGGAAACGACAAACACATTGTTAATTTTCATGAACACCAAAACCCTCATGTTGATTCATATAAATTTCGTCCTTCAATTCTCCATGCAGAAAAGCAGTTTTGACATCTTATTGTTCCAATTCCAAATCAAATAGTGCAACAAAGGCAAGAATTACTCTTATGGAAGAATTACAAACTAATGGAGAGAAAACTTCATTAAATCAATACCTTCATTTTGGGCAAAGCCTTGGACAACTAAACAAGGTTTCCATATTGAATTTTCAACCCAAGGAATCCCATCTTTTCGTTTATAGATCCATTTGCAGTCTAGTGCACGATGACCTTTAGGAAGCTCACATAAATCCTATGTCGTATTCTTATGCAGACTTTTCTTCTTGCATTGCTTCCAGCCACTGAGATGAATTAGAACTAGTGATTGCCTCTGAATATGAAGAAAGTTAAACTCGTTCAGAAGTTTATTGTGCAACTGTTAGTGAATAGGAAATCAGACCATCATTATCACCATACCTGTTGGGTTTTCTAATAACTCTCCTTGGTCTATTATGAGCAATAGAAGAATCATCAACAAATTTTGGCTCAACGGGACATATAGTACTGGAAAATTGTTCACCAACACGAGCATCACTGGTTGACTGTGGAACTGTAAAAGAGATAGGGTCAATATTATGAGATTTAGTTCTCATTTCTAACTCCCCCATCTCATAGGTACCTTGTTGATCATTTATACCATAAGATAATACAGAATGCTCTTTTTCAGAACACAACAATGCATTTTCTTTAAAAGTAATGTCTCTACTCAAAATAATTTTTCTCAAATCTGGCACAATAAACGATAACCTTTCGACTCAGAAGCATAGCCAAGAAATAAGCATTTAACAACCGTTGGAGCTAACTTCCTATCATTAACATGGGCAAAAGCAGGGTATCCAAGTACTTTTACATTTGAGAAATTCATAGGACTTGATCAAACTTCTTCTGGAATTTTGATGTTAATGGATGAGTATGGAGATCGATTGACAAGATAACAAATTGTAGAAATAGCCTCAGCCCAAAAATCAAGACGATGACACAATCACACATTTGAGAGAATACAACGAGCTCTCTCCAGAAGAGAATGAAAGTGTTGGTTGGTGTATAGACCTTTAACAATTATATTAGACACTTGAGGGAATGTATGCAAGTTTTTCCCCAAACTAACAATGCACACCATGTTTAGAGTAACTCTGCACATAATTTGTGCAAGCAATGTCAACGGATGCATTGTCGGATACCCCAATATAATGTTCTGCAATTTTGTAGCATCCAAGCAACATTTGTTAAAGGCTAAAGCTACAAAGGGAATGCAAAAGAAGTGAATGCCACTGAGCTACTGTACAACATATCTAAGACTCCTAAATTATAAAGAGTGTTCAGATTTCCACACTTTTTGAACTGGATGTGATGACACAGAGAGTTGTTTTGGAGATAAATCCGGTATATAAGCCGCGATGAAATGCCTTGATGGTATTCGAAGTCCCAAATACGTGACTCACCTGAATAACACTGGTGTAGCTAGCCCACAAGCTTATAATGACACTAGTATAATGAGAACAAAGTTGAGACAAACAAGAAATAAACACATTTGAAACGCATTTGCAACTCGAAAAGAAGCCATGAGAATTAATCTCCATAATACAGAACAAGATATTACATTGCGAAATACACACTTCAAATACATCACAAACTAGTTAAGTAAAAGCTTTTATTTGCATCACAAACAACATATTAGACTTGAATCCTGCAATTTTCAAAAAAGAAGAATTTAAAGTTAAGAGCTTTAAGGATGAAGGAGGTGAGCACGTTCATTGATAATTAAAGATCAAATTGAAAACCTGGAAGTAACAAACTAATATTTTTTTCTTGAACTTTTTCATTCCTGTTATAGTTATGTGTTCTAATTTTACATCCATCCTCAAAAACCATGCTAAAATTGAGTTGACAACATTATGTATATTACGGACAGTACAATAAAAGGTCCACAACCGTAATCCATGAGAACGGCTTGCCAACTTATCGTTGTTGAATCTCCTTCGTCTCCTTTAGCCCAACTAAAGTTGTCGCTTGTTGTACCCCTTCATTACAGCCACAATCTTTTGAGAGTGGTCATCCACGTAACCCAACATTCCCTTGGTATGAACTATTCTCAAATGTATCAAACTGTTTTCCTTTGGGAATGCATCCAACAAGATTATTGTGACAGATATTTAAGACTTCAAGTGATGTGAGGGATGTAAGTTTTTGTGGAATTTCTCCGTTGATTTTGTTGGACGAGAGATCCAATGATTCAAGTACAGATAATTGGTGAAGTGATATTGGTATATCACCTTCCAAGCAATTATGAGATAAGTTCAACGTACGAAGCCCAATAAGATCTCCAATAGCTTGGGATATGACCTTCAAATCTATTTTTTGAGAGATCGATAATTATTTCTGTAGTCAAAACTTGAGAAAGTTCAAGCTCCAGTCCCTTTGTTGTCACTATTAAGGAAATTGTATGTACCTACTACATACTTTCGGGTCCACTGTTCTCACCAATTATTTTCATGGCTTCAAAACTCTAAAAAAGGCTCATTGGTAAGTCTCCACTAAATCCATTGGATGAGAGATCCATGACTAGAATTTGAGCAAACAAGTTGACAGTCCTAGAATCTTTTATAGGGCCTTAGAACTTATTTAATCTCAAGTTCAAAATATGCAAATCAGGTAGGGCTCCCAACCATTTAGGAAATGTGTTATTCAATTCATTATTACCTAAATCAAGAACTATTTTCAGTTATAGGGCGGAGAGAGGGAGGAAAGCGAACAAAAGAAAAGAGAGAATTCCATTGATCCTCGGGCTCACCTAAATGAAGAACTATTTTAAGTTATAAGATGGAGAGAGGGAGGAAAGCGAACAAAAGAAAAGAGAGAATTCAATTGATCCTCTGGCTCACCTAAATGTGTCACCTAAATGAAGAACTATTTTAAGTTATAGGATGGAGAGAGGGAGGAAAGCGAACAAAAGAAAAGAGAGAATTCAATTTATCCTCTAGCTCACCTAAATGTGTCACCTAAATCAAGAACTTTCAAATATTTGCAATTGATCAAAGATTGCAATTGAAGAAGATATGTTAAGAATAGTGCAAAGGAACACTTGATGAAATATCATAAAGTAGGAAAAACAAAAGGCATTAATTTTCTTCTTAAACCTGCAATTTCCAAAAAATGAATTAAGTAACCATTTGATGTAATAAACACTTACTACAATTAAACTAATAAGAGAAATGTTAAGTCAATGTTCAGGTCATTGCACAAGAACGACTTGAGAATATTAGCTTTAACAATTGGAGACAATTATCTAATCAATCTATATTAGGAAAAGCCACTACTATCTTTTAAATTATGACCTAAATTTAAAGATACATTTTATACACCTTATGTGCTGACTTTGAGCAGCAACTCAATTCAATTAGTTGCAGGGTCATACATGTTGGAAAAGACAAGGCACTAACAAAGAATGTCTGACAGGATAACAGCGGAAGAATACCGAAGTCTATACTTTTCCTTCTCGATTTGAACCAAGAGAAGACAAACAACCACAAGCAATATAATAGTAAGGCAGCAAGTAATTCAACCAAACAAATATAATAAGACAATAATAAACCAATCACACAAGACACCAAGATTTACGTGGAAAACCCTTCGATGTGAAGAGTAAAAACCACAGGACCAAAAGCTCCACTATAATCACCAAGATTTACAATATTGTTATCCAAAATTGGCCACAAAACAAGTGCCAAACAACGAGCAACAACAAAATAAGATTGCACCAAATCTAGAGAATTAAAGGAGCAAAATCACCAATTTCGCAACTACTATTCACGACAGCAAAACTGAAGCTGCAAGACACCAAATCCAACTCTGTCAGTTCCTAATCAAAGATTGAGATGAAGATAATACGCTGTCCAAAAATCAGCTCAATCGGACAAGAAACGAAGCGGGAATCGCAATTTGAAGTTGGCTGTTAGGGCTGAATTTTGACTGCGAAAAACTGCTCTTTTCCTCTCTTTTTGGCTGCTGAAAAAACTCTCTGTGTATTTGAAAATAAGACCTAAATAGGCTGATATTTTCCTCATAAGAATGGGCCTATGGTCAAAAATGGGTTGGTCCAAATTGGGCTTCTATTTATCCACATAGGAAGGGAAAAAGGCTCATAACCCAACAATTCTCCCCCTCACGACTATGTGGAGGAGACCGCCATCCCGCGACCATGCAACAATCTTCAAACTTCCCTCATGGCAAAGCTTTAGTCATCATATCGGAACCATTGTCATTTGTATGAATCTTTTCAAGTTCAAGCAACTTAGAATCCAACACATCTCGAATCCAATGGTATCTCACATCAATGTGTTTAGACCGACCATGGAACGTAGAATTCTTGCCAAGATGTATAACACTTTAACTGTCACAATAAAGCACATACCTCTCTAGAGCACAACCAAGTTCCCCCAAGAATCTCTTCATCCAAAGCAATTCTTTACAAGCTTCAACGACAGCAATAAGCTCAGCTTCTGTAGTAGATAGAGCAACACATTTTTGCAACCTAGATTGCCAAGACACAGCTCCCCCTGCAAAAGTAACCAAGTACCCTGAAGTAGACTTGCGAGTATCAACATCACCAGCCATGTCTGAATCAGTATAACCACAAAGAATAGGCTTCCCTGTACCAAAACACAAACTCAGACTAGAAGTGCCACAGAGATATCTCATAACCCACTTCACAGCATTCCAATGTTCTCTTCCCGAATTAGAAAGAAAACGGATAACAACTCCAACAGCATGAGCAATATCCGGTCTTGTACAAACCATCGCATACATCAAACTACCAACAGCTGAAGCATAAGGAACTTTCTTCATATCTTCCTTCTCATCATCACTAGAAGGACACTGTTTCGTGCTCAATTTGAAGTGCATAGCTAAAGGTGTACTGACAACCTTAGCTTTGTCCATGCTGAATCTGCGAAGTACTTTCTGAATGTACTTCTCTTGTGATAATACCAATTTCTTGGCCTTTCTATCACGTACAATCTGCATGCCAAGAATCTGCCTTGCTGGTCCTAAGTCTTTCATAGCAAAAGACTTACTCAACTCTTGCTACAACTTCTGAATCCTGCAAGTATTATGACCAACAACAAGCATGTCATCAACATAAAGCAACACAATAATAAAGTCACCATCAGAGAACTTTTGCACAAAAACACAATGGTCTGAAGAAGTCTTCTTGAAGCCATGCTGACTCATACAAGAACCAAACTTCCTGTACCACTGCTTGGAAGCTTGTTTCAAACCATACAAGCTCTTCTTCAATTTGCAAACATAATTCTCTTTACCCTTGACTTCAAAACCTTCCGGTTGCTTCATATAAATTTCTTCATCTAAGTCACCATGAAGGAAAGCAGTTTTAACATCCATTTGCTCAACCTCTAAATCTACACTTGCAGCCAAGCCTAGAACCACATGAATGGATGACATCTTCACAACAGGAGAGAATATCTCATCAAAATCAACTCCCCTTTTCTGATTAAATCCCTTGACAACTAATCTAGCTTTGTACCGTGGAACTGGATTACCATCTTCATGTTTCACCCGAAAAACCCACCTGTTTTTCAAAGCTTTTCTGTCTTTAGGTAACTTAACCAAACCAAAGGTATGATTATCATGCAAGGATTTAATATCATCTTCCATAGCATCAAACCACCTTTCTTTTTCTTCACTTTTCATGGCCTCATCAAGACTCTCAGGTTCTCCCCCGTCAGTCAAGAGTACATACTCATTGGGAGAATAACGAGATGAAGGAATTCTCTCTCTACTAGATCGTCTGAGAGAACTCTCTGGAGCATCTATAATTGGTAGTTGGACAACCACATCATCTTGCACTGGAGCATCAACAACATCATGCCGGTCATTCTGAACATGATCACCATCTTCATTATCAACTTGATTTTCATCATTATGAAGATTTTCTTCTGGTGCAATAGTCAAAGGAACTGGATCAACATCAACTAAGCTCTCACTACTGTGAAAATCAGCCTTGTCAGCTTTGTCAAAATCTTCTATTGTTTGGTCTTCAAAGAACACAACATCACGACTTCTAACAAGTTTCTTCTCAACAGGATCATAGAAACGATAGTCAAACTCATCTTGACCATAACCAATGAAGATACACTGCCTAGTTTTAACATTCAACTTTGACCTTTCACCCTTAGGAACATGTACAAAGGCTTTACACCCAAAGACTCTAAGATGATCATAAGAAACATTCATACCAGTCCAAACTCTGTCAGGGACATCACCATCTAAAGCAACAGCAGGAGATAAATTGATAACATAAGCAGCAGTATTAAGTGCTTCTGTCCAAAAGGAATCTGACAGCTTAGCATCTGAAAGCATACATCTAACCCTTTCAACTAGAGTTTTGTTCATCCTCTCTGCTAAACCATTTAACTGAGGAGTCTTTGGAGGAGTTTTCTGATGCCTAATACCC